ACTATATAATAATTTCATATTTAAAGTACTTTAAGAAGTTTGTATTCTGAATCTGAACAAACTTTTCCTTTAAGGCTGACACATGGTGGTGGCAGCATCATGCTGTGGAGAGCAGCAGAGGTACATCCAGGACAATCCTGGTAGAGGCTAAAGAAAAGCTGTATGGATTAAGAAAATGTGAGTATTAGCAATACGATACGTGTCGCAGTACGATATTATCCCGATATTGCAATATCACTATTTGTTGCGATATTGTTCCCAGTTATATAGATAAATAAGCAAAAGCCATATAAGCTCATCAAAATCCATGTTGTTTGGGGTTTGAGTCAGTCCAGTCTCCATAGAGCTAACTCCCAGCGGCGGGTGCAGAGGCAGTCCATCTTCCCTCACTGTTTTAGGCAGAATTTGTTTTTCGAAATTGATACTAGAAATAGGCCAAAAATCACGATATATGGCAATATTTATTTTTTTCCCCCACCCCTAATTCAGAGCTGCAAATGTTGTTTCTAGATAAGACATCTTCATTTGTAATCAATTTATATGCAGAAAAGTTTTCATTAAACAACAGATTTCTTGAAAAAATAAAAGATAAAACTTTCTTCTTGGACAGGGATCTGCAACCTGTGGCTCTGGAGCTACAAAGGCTTCTGTGGAAGCAGCCAGTGATGGAGCAGGTGGAGCTAAAAACATGATTTATCTCAATCAACAACCCACCTGTTGTCAAGGTGAAAGACATTTAGAACAACATTTTGGTCTAAACTGACACCGTGCCTGTGATGAGAAGGTTTGTTTCCCAGGAAGTTTCCATTAAAGACACAAAAAATGGTTCTATAATTCAAAAGGAACACGCACAAAAAAAAATGAATAACTAAAGAGAAGCGGCAAAACACGAGGCATTTGTCTCTAAACTATAAAAGAGGACTAGAGCTCAGTACCAAGCGGTACCAGCTCTGCACCAAGCGGTATCAGTACCAAGCGGTACCAGTTCAGTACAAAGCGGTACCAGTTCCATACCAAGCGGTACGGGCTCAGTACCAAGCGGTACCAGTTCAGTACCAGGCGGTACCAGCTCAGTACCAAGCGGTACCAGTTCTCCTCCAAGCGATACCAGCTCAGTACCAAGTGGTACCAGCTCAGCATGGAGCAGTATCAGCTCAGTGCCCAGCGGTACCAGCTCTGCACCAAGCGGTACCAGCTCAGTACCAGGCGGTACCATTTAGGTACCAAGCAGTACCAGTTCAGTACCAAGCAGTACCAGCTCAGTACCAAGCGGTACCAGCTCTGCACCAAGCGGTACCAGCTCAGTACTAAGCGGTACCAGTTCAGTACCAAGCGGTACCATTTAGGTGCCAAACGTTACCAGTTCAGTACCAGGCGGTACCAGCTCAGTACTAAGCGGTACCAGCTCAGTACCAAGCGGTACCATTTAGGTACCAAGCGTTACCAGTTCAGTACCAAGTGGTACCAGTTCAGTACCAAGCGGCACCAGTTCTCCTCCAAGCGATACCAGCTCAGTACCAGGCGGTCCCGGTTCTCCTCCAAGCGGTACCAGTTCAGCATGGAGCAGTATCAGCTCAGTATCCAGCGGTGGTGGCTCAGTGGACTCAGGCTCTGGCGGTGACAGGTTTCTGGACCAGAACTCTTTCTCAGCCATAACAGAACCTCTGAGCGGTTAGCTTCAAAAGGTTTACTGGGAAATGTGGAAGGAGAACTCTTGACCTGTTTCAATGGACAGCACCGACTCAGAACCTGCTTTTCTGTTCCAGTCATCTAACGGTTGAGCCTCGGTTCTGATCCGAATCAGCTGATCCAGTCATTAAAAATCAAGGCAATGCTTTGATTGATTCACTTTTAGCTTTCTACATTTAGACTTTCATAAAGCAAAGAGTCTGAGTAAGAAAACCCACATTTCTGTCATTGGTTGAGTTACAGACTGACTAAACAAGGTGCCTTAGTGGCTCCTAATAGAGACTGACTCATAACTTCTGATTCAGAGAATAAAGGAAGGAGTGTTTCACTTCTGAAACAGATGATGAGTTCAGGCTTTTCAGAATGACCAAAGATCTTCCTTATGTCAGATCAGATCAGCAATCCTCTCATTTAAGGTCAAAACATCCTCAACATCAGCATCATGTCTCCTGGAAAATCAGCATTATGCCTCCTGGTATAAGTTCTACCTTAAGTTGAGTCAATCAGTCGGACCTCTGCTACCTAAAAACCTCTGTTCTTTAGGGTGGATATATTAGTCAATGACTGATCTGAGCTGCTGTAGGAGCCGTCTGTTGGTAACCGCTTCCTCTCTGTCACACTGACAGTGTTTTAAACCACGCGCCTCATTGCGGCGGTCTGATCTGGTTCTGTTTACATCACAATCTGTGGTTGATGCCAGACTCATACAGACAATACAGACTCATGTTGTTACATGAGGAGTCGTGGAAGTGGGTTCAAAAAAGGTCATCATGTTAAAACTGAGCCCAGCTATTAGCTACATTGGAGATAAAATAAAGTATTTTTCAGGTTAACATTCATCTCTTGGTGCGTATGGATGTTCCATTTAGACTTTTCTAATACTGAGGGTCGGATCCGCTGCAGGTACCAGATCTACCCGAGCCCTGCACACACCAGTGACCTTACACTATATGATTGGATGAACGTTACCACTTGATTTAAAACACTGTGGTTGCCTGGACAACGATTATAAATATGCAGCATCCGTGTGCTGAGTGGGGAGCATCTGTAGCGTTAAAGTGTCAAATGATGATGAAGTTTTACCTGATTGATGACAAAACTGATCTGTTGGTACTTTGTTTATGGTGAACAAAGTACCAAAGCTCTTCTTCATATCATGGTTAGACCATGGTATAAAGGGGGAGAGCTGGGTAGTGCTGTGTATGGGTATATGGCTTATACCAACTTCTAAAACCCCCATGATACGCACAATTAAGGAGAATCTTAAAGCCAAATTTCCTATTTTTTTCCCAGGCTAGTGAAGGCATCACCTTCACTACTCTGCTTCTAATTGCTAGCACTCACTGCACTCCATATTATGCTACACTAGTTTTAACTTTATATCAACAACAACCTTTTATTTTCTAATATTAGTAGTAGTATAACTGTTTTATTTGTCTATAATCTAAATTAAATTTTTAAGATCTTCGCATCCTCAGATCTTAATAAGCAGAGTGTTTGTGTCACCGTGGTAAATGGCAGATCTCAGTGTGTCTCTGTGGTAAATGGCAGATCTCAGTCAGTCTTAGAAGGCAGTTCTTTCCTTCAAGACTGAGAATGATCATTTTCTACCTTCGGCTACTTTAGATCACAGATGAAATTTAAAATAATAGCATTTAAAGGTAATATGTTAAGACTCCAGAGGAGATCTGATTCTTAAGAAACGATTGCATATGAGGATGTCATAAGAAAACGGGCCCCCGAGCAGATCTGGTACCTACACCGTCACTGAGTATATGGAAAGACATTTGCTCCAATATCAATAAAAGCAAAATATAAATAAATAAATAAAAGATAATAAAGAATAATAATAATCAGGATTGAACCAGTTGAACATTTTGTTTCACTTTGTAAGGCACAGAGACAAGATTAAGAAATCTGCACAGATTCGGATCTGCTCATATGTAGCAGGAGCCTCTGCAAACACTCTGCAGTGAGACATAAAAATATCAGACCAGAGATCAAAAGACCTGAGCTTAACTGTTACTAGTGGTGTAGTGCGGGGTATACGTGGGTACACCCACTTCTAAAACCCCCGTGATCCGCACAATTAAGCCAAATTTCCCATTTTTTTCCTAGGCTGGTGAAGGCATCACCTTCCCTACTTTGCTCCTAATTGGCTAGTACTCACTGGCTTTAGTGATTATATCGTGTAACTGTAGGCATGACGATTTCATAATCCTTCCTACCTGAGATCAGATAGCAGAAATTACACATCTAAATCTAGATCAGTCATTTTTTCTTAAAATAAGTGCACTTGTTGAGGCGGTAAAAGAGACATTTTGCCAATGGAACAAGGCAGTTTAAACTTCAAATAAGAAAACACAATTTTATTGTCTTATTTTAACTGCATGTTATCTCATTTACCTACTCAACTTAAGGGTATATACACTAAATTTAAGACATTTTTACTTATTTCTAGATAGTTTTTCCAGCGTAGATGACATTAAGTAAATACTATAAAGGAATGTTTAGGTAAACATCATAGAGCGGTCTGACATGTCATTGTTTCTGGGCGCATTAAAAAAGAGGGTGAGCATCCCCACTTCTCACCTCACACTACTGCCTGTTACTCTTTGCACAGACAGACCAAATGTTTTCCAGCAGCACCTAGAGCCAAAGTAGTCTCTGGCATGTGCCTTTTAAAAAATGGCATATGCCAGTTGAAAAGTGGCATATGCACATTTTCTCCAGCACATAAACACATTTATAACCACATATATAAACACACATATAAGAGCTTTGGTGAAACCAGCAAAGTTTCACCAAACTCAAGTGACTCAACTCTTTGTTTTCTGTGACAGAGACCTGCATCGGACTCCAAGCAGCTGAATGTGTTTGCTTGTGCCTCTGGCCGGCCCTGCCTCTGGAAGGCAGAATCACAGCCTGTTCTTTAGATTGTAATGTGTCAGAACAGTTGGAGTTTGTTTCTGCTTGTTTGGTAAAAACCCAGAGCGCACCTTGGAAGTTCAAAACTCTCTGAAAAACAGAGAGAAACAGAGAGAGAGAGTCCTATTCCACCCCCTCCCTTTCATTTGTGCGGCTCCCAGGAGCCCAAAGTGGCCCCGCGCGCCGCTGAGCTACTTTAACCCGGAGGAAGGTGCGAGTCTCTCAGGTTCCTAAGGAGCTGAGGTCTGGAGGAGGCCATGGTCTCCTCTGCAGCTCCTGCAGCGGATCGGATCCTCCCTGTCACGAGTTTCAGCGCAGCGCAGTGGTGGAAAAAAAGTTGTGTCGTGGACGTGGAGTGAAAGTTCCACTCAGAAAGAGCCTACCTGTTAGGAGGACGGCCGGCAGCAGGAAGCAGTAGACCAGCCAGACGATCACCTGGAGATCCATGTCAGTCTGTCTGTCTGTGTGCGCTGACAGTCAGCAGCCAGCCCGTCCTCTGGGCTCCATCTAAAGGCGGATCAGTTTACCAGAGCAGCTCCTCGTTCGCGTCCAGCCAGCAGACAGAAACACTCCCAACATGTCTCCAAATGTTCGCTCCTCCGCGCGCCGGGATGGAGCTTTTGTTTTCGGGGCGTTTTCAGCCGCAGACCATGTGCCAACGGCGCATCCGCTGCCCTCTCTGCGCCTCTGAGGAGGAAGGAAAGTTTAGAGCGCGCGGCTCGTGTCGGCAGGCGCGCGCTGAAGGAACTCTGCTCAAAGTGGAAAATGTGATTCACTGGAGCAGCGAGTCTGAGGGGCGTTCATAGAGGAGCTATTCTCTGGTCACCTCCCTGTTTAGCCAAGCCTGTGGAAGCAGCGCCTGGGGCCGCTGAGGCGTGTGTGGTGGTGGTGGGGGGGGGGGGGGGGGGGCTGTCTAACTGTCTCACTGTCTCAATGTCTCAATGCATTGCGCTGAAACATCTGTCCTGATGCCACAATGTGTCTATCACACCTGACGTCAAACAGCTCGACGGCTGTGCGTATAGCGCCCCCTCGTGTCCAGCGACGGTAGCTGACCATTCAGCCAAAAACAAACAATACCCTCAATCAGCCATCCTGACTTATTTCTAGTAGGGGTGTCAATAGTACACACATTAGTTACTTAAGTAGAAGTATAGATACTGCAGTTTAAAAACACTCTGGTAAAAGTTGAAGTATCAACTTGACCTCTTTACTCAAGTAAAAGTGAAAAAGTATGTGCTCCTAAAACAACTTAAAGTATAAAGTAACCTTTAAATAAAAACAGCCAGATGCCACTATATGAATTGAAAGCTCAATTTTTCGACTATTTCTAAAAATTCTTTGAGATAGAGCCAAGGATGAGGGAGGTCTTGTTGGTCTCCGTCTCCCGATACGCTCTCGCCTGTGTCCGACCTTTCAGACATTTCAACATCTTTTTCTGAATCCTCCATTGCAGCATGGCACAGACAATTCACGTTTACAGTTTGAAGAACACCTGCTTGCTTCTGATGATTTAGCTTCACTAGATGTGGATGGAGCCAATGATCTGCATTGGATGGAGCACATGATGTGAAATAAATATTCATAAACATTAAACCGAAGTCAAAAGTAACGAGTAACATTTGTTTTAATAATGTAAGGATTAGAAAGTACAGATACTTGTGTGAAAAAGGAATTAGTAGAAGTCAGAAGTAGGAAGAAAAATAAGTAATGGAGTAAAGTATAGATACCTAAAAAGTGTACTTAAGTACAGTAATGAAGTATTTGTACTTTGTTACTTGACACTTCTGATTTCTATATTTTACTTGCACTTAACATTTTCAGTCCTAAAATTTCACCTTAATATGATGAGTTTGTGGCATTCCAACTTAAATTGTAAGCTATTTCTATAAAATGTAAATTTGGGCACATCAATGCAACCTAATATTTGGAGTTTTAAAGAGTTAAGGGATTCAAAATGAAGATAGGATTTTTGTCACACCTGAGAAGATGCTCAGGGTACACCCTTAATTTTCAGACATTTTTACTTATTTATAAATCATTTTTGCAGTGAACAAGGTAAGTTTAATTCATCAACAACCCCACAGCCTACTAAAAATGTATGTGGAGGAGGGGTAAGGACAGTCCAATCTGTCCTTCCACATACTGTACTAGATTCACTCAATAAAACCTAAGGGGCGGGTTCACTACTCAGTGACTCTGTCCACCATTGTTTACAATGCAGCAGGGAGACGCCAAAAACCAACACTATAAAATAAGGTTCAGATACCCTCGCGTCCCAGCCCAGAACCTCACACCTTAACCTACCTGCTGTGGGACACTGACTACTAGAGGAACAAACATGTCCGAATCAGTACCTACTGACATCCTGCTGACGTTTGTTATTCATCTATGACAATAGAAACTCGGTTTTGCATTCTATGACCCCTTTAAGTATTTAAGTTGAACCACTCTGACGTTTACTACATGGGAGGGGCCCTATCAGACTCCTGCTACCTTTACAACGTCCCCGTCATCTAAAAGCTAGTGACACCAAATGCTATGAAATATAAAGTATTTTAAATTATTGATATTGCATTTACTACAATATTGGGATCATTTTGTAAAAGAGAAAACCATTTAGGATTGAAACGTATTCAGATATGGACATTTTGAATGGAAAAAGCTTTAAAAAAATGCAGAAACAAAAAAGAAGATTAAAAACAGTTGGACTAAAGAAATTACGCTTTACTAATCACTAAAGAATAAATATTTATCTTACACATCTAATATATATATATATATATATATATATATATATATATATATATATATATATATATATATATATATATATATATATATATATATATATATATATATATATATATATATATATACAGGTATATTTTGAAATACTTTACATTTTAATTTAAAATTAAATTACCGGTACTAAAAAAAATTATATATTTTTTATGACTTAATCAGTGTCATTGGGCGTGGGGCGGCGCATCAGCGCCCTCTAGTGGCCCCAGCGGCCACTGTCGTTTTAAAACAACTTACGTTTTCTGCGCGGTTGCTTTGGAAAAGCCACTTTCGTCCGTTTGGCCTCAGACTGTTGTTAATTTCTGTCGAGTAAATATTTCAGAGAGCGCCTTTATGAACTCTGCGTGAATTATGATGAGTTACTCCTCATTTGGAATTTACTGAATATTTTCTGTAAAATAATTTGATTATTTGATGTTTCATGGGGGCTAATCATGGAGGTGATATGAAAATTAGCCTATATTATTTAAACAGTGTTACTAAATATAGCCTAACTTCTAGACTTTATAGTAATCCAGCATTTAAAACCAAACTTTGACGCTAACTGTAAAATAACCTGAATGCTTTTTTCTTTTATCAATTCAAAAATACTTCATCTATCCCAAAGGGAAATTAAACGATACTCCTAAACTCAGCATAAATCTTGATTAGCCTGTAATTCAAATAAACAAAACAAACAAAAAACACATAAGTGGTTGAATAAAAACATGATTTGTTGCAACAGGTTTTAACGGAAACACTGCAGCCAATCAGAATCCAGTATTCACCCATAATAATCAAAAATAATCTACCAAGCCCAAAGGGAGATGAAATGATGACTAAATGGTTAGTGGATTTGACAGTGTTTTGTTGGGCAGTAAGTGTTATCCTATTATTCTAGTGAACAAAAAGTGAAGATTTCACAGTGACAATGTGTTAAAGAAGCAATTTTGTCTTACAGCCTCCCAAAAGGAAAGAAACACGTCAGAAGTGCAAAGAATCTGCTAAACGGTTGCCCGAAAGAGGAATGGTCCAAAGAGCAGGTTAGATTATTGGTTCGAAGCTTAGGTTTGCATAAAATCTGTGTTCATAGTAAAAACTAAGTTGACCCAATCTAAAATCTGTGTCATGATTGGTTACAGAGTAAACCCAATATGCAGAACACACACGGAGGCTGATGAAAAGTTTAACAAGGTTTATTGATACACAAGCACAAGAATATTGCACTGGAACTGGTTCGGGCCTGGGGGCTGGTTCACCGGAGTCTGCAGGGATGACAGTTCAGTTAGCACATGGACTGATGAGTTATGAGTCTTAGAGTTTGCTGAGGAATACCTTGAAGGAGTCCGAGTTTCTCTTTGAGAGAGGAAACTGTTGGGTCCAGAGACTGTTTGTTCAGCAGAGTTCAATAACTGCTTTAGCATCTTACTTCTGACTTTGAGGGCAGACCTTGGTTTGTGTTTCCAGCTCTTAGCCAAGAGCTGCAGGGGAATCCAGAGAAGAGTCTTCAGGTTTGGCTGACGAGGGCAGGCTAGGCAGGTTAAGCTCACCCAGAGCTTCAAGGAGAGACAGGATTCCTGTGAGGCAAAAACAAGGAAGAGTTAGAATCTTATCTCAACTGGAGATAGCAAAGATTCTCAGGTTTACTAGGCTCAGGTCGCTAACCAAACTAGATCAACACTGCGGCGTTGAGGCAAGGTCTGAAGGCAGGTTATATAGCAGTGGATCCTCTGATTATGAGATGCGCCACAGGTGTGTTGGAGGCTCAGCTCAGGAGGACCCATGGCGCACTCTGCTGGAGGAAGGTGGTACAGCTCCAGATCCCAACAGTACCCCCCCCCTCAACGACCGCCTCTTGGCGGTCCCAAGGATGTCGACGGGAGGGAGCGCTCGTAATCCTCTATCAGAGACGGATCGAGGATGTAGGAGCCAGGAACCCATTGGCGATCCTCCGGACCGTAGCCCTCCCAATCGACGAGGTACTGCCATCCGCGACCTCGCCGACGGGAGTCCACGATCCGGCGGACGGTGAAGGCAGGATGTCCATCGACGTCCAGAGTGGGTGGAGGGGAGTCGGATGGAGGGCACAAAGGACTGGTAACAACTGGTTTTATCTGGGAGACATGGAACATTGGATGGATGCGGAGACTCGAAGGAAGGTGCAGGCGCAGGGCAGATCGGTTTATAACCTGGGCAATCTTGAGGGGAATGTCCCGAGTGGTAAGCCATACCTCCTGACCATTGACGTACTCTGGGCAGGGCGTCTCTTGGAGTCCGCAAAGCGCTTGGAAGTCGCAGATGAGCGGTTGAGAGTGCCGATGGTGTCCCTCCAGACTCGTTGACAGCGACGGATGTGGTGATTGACAGATTGAACCGAAATCTCTCTCTCGTCTGCTGGAAAAAGAGGAGGCTGATACCCGAGACTAACCTGAAATGGAGATTGACCGGTGGAAGCAGACTTGAGGGAGTTGTGGGCATATTCGATCCATGTGAGGTATTGACTCCAGTCAGTGGGATTGTTGGAGGTCAGACAGCGGAGAGTCGATTCGAGCTGTTGGTTCATTCTCTCTGTCTGACCTTTGGACCGTGGATGATAACCAGAAGTAAGTGATGACTTACAATTCTGCGCAGAAAGCCTTCCAGACTTGGGAGATAAACTGTGGTCCGCGGTCGGAGAGAATTTCCTGGGGTATTCCATGGAGCCGGAAAACATGTTTTACTAGGAGCTGTGCAGTCTGAAAGGCCGTGGGAAGTTTCCTGAGAGGAATCAGATGACATGACTTCGAAAATCGGTCGACGATGGTAAAAATAGTTGACATATCTCTGGAGATTGGGAGACCAGTGACAAAATCGATGGCGATGTGAGACCAGGGACGAGTTGGAACAGGAAGAGGATTCAACAGGCCAGAGGGCGGTTGATGTGAGCTCTTGTTTTTGGCGCATATGGAGCAAGCCAAAACATACTCCTTCACATCCTTGTGCAACGTAGGCCACCAGAAACGTCTAGAAATCAAGGCGATAGTTCGGCTCACCCCCGGGTGAGCGGAAAACTTGGCTGTGTGCATC